ACCATTTTGTAGTATGTTCTAATATGTGGTGGTGGTGGTGTTGTTATGTGCCGTCTAGTCAGACCCGACTCATAGCGACCCCTCCTTGGGTTTCCGAGGCAGTATCACTACGGAAGTAGGATTGCCCAACCTTCCTTCCGAGGAGTGGCTGGTGGGTTTGAACCGCCAGCCGTCTGGTTAGCAGGCAAGTGTCTTAGTGGTAGTGGGGTTAAATACCCCTCACAAAAAGGAAAAAGAAAAGAAAAACAAGGTTATTGAGAAAACAGATACATGGTTGCCAGTTACTAGGGGTGTGGGTAAGGGTTGACTGCAGAGAAGAAGCACAGGGGAATTTTGGGGAGTGATGGCACTATTTGGTATCTTGATTGTAGAGTTGGTTATACAACACGTATTTGTCAAAATCCTAAAAACTTCACTTAAAAAGGGTAAATTTTACTGTACATAAATTTTATCTTACAATGGAAGGAAAACAGGTACACAAAGAATTGTGTGTCCTTGAGTCGATATCAACTCACAGTAATGGTTAAAAGGGCCAAAAGCCTAGCACACAGAGTGCACTATACAAGTATTTCAAAAAGGAAAAATAAAAGGGTTATTGAAATAAGAGAACAAACCCAGGAGTGCCCTCCTGGAAACCCAGTGTCTTTCTTATTTCCCAGAGCCTGTCCTAAAGACTGCTAGAAGGGGCTGGACCAGTCTCTGAGAGCTGGAAGAGGTGGGGCAACAATGGCTGCATCACCCATTGCCCACCTTCCTCCATGGAACCTGGGAACACCAGGCTCAGGGTTGCAGCCAGGACTGCCTCCTTGCCTCCCTAGCCATGCCTTCTTTCTTCTACCCTGTCTCCTGCAGGTGGCCCCTAACCAGACCCTTGCCCCTTCTCCCTGTTCCCATCCCTCCTGCAAGACTTTGGTTTAGGCCAGGGCTAGATACATATTTTGCAGGGTCCAATGCAATGAAAGGGAGCTCTGGTAGCATAGTGCCTAAGGCACTTGACTGCTAACCAGAAGGCTGGTGGTTCAAACCCACCAGCCACTCCTCAGAAGGAAGATGGGGCAATCTACTTCTGTAGTGATACTGCCTACAACAACAATGCAATGAAAATGCAGGGCCTCTTGTTTAAAAATTATTAAAAATCTCAAGACTGCGATAGCAGGGCATTACACTCAGTGAGTGTGGAGCCTGGTGTGACTGCTGGTCTTGGGTCACACACCCTTGCCCTTGACTGCTCAGGGACTCACCCATGGCCTGCAGAGTGAAGTCCTCTTCTGCCAGCTTACAGGCTGTCCAGAATCAATTCTATCTTCTGGTCCATCCCTCCCTTCACATGCTCCGCCCCACCCCACCCCCACTCCAGGCAGATGTCATCCCCCACAATCTGTCCCACACTTTTCTTATCCATGTCTAAACCCATTTTGGAATGCCCTCAGCCCATATCTGCCCCAAAGAAGTCCCCTCAACCTCAGTGAAGGCTAGTTCTGCCATCCCCTCCTCAAGGAAGCTTGTCCCCCACCCACCATCCAGAGTAACAAATTGCCCACTGACCGCCCATAGCACTCAAGCCTCACCTTTCTGGTGACACATACCACTTGTTTTTATTGCAAGAAACATCACATGCTTTTTCTTTTCTGAATCAAATATAGAGAACTGAACCCTGCCCCTCAGGGTGAGGAGAAGACCCCCATCTGAATCATCTGTATAGTCTGCACCCTCTTTGGACAAAAGCTCCCTAATGCCTACTTCTGAGAAATTTCCCAGAAAGGGCCCCTTGGCTTTCTACATGCCCCGTCACTACTATAGAAGTCACTCATTGTTCCCAAGTCTGTCCATCCCCTCCCCTCCAGCTCTGAGCACCTTAGAGCCTCCTGTTCTCTATCTCCTGCCTGGCCCCAGGCATTCTCCAAAACATTCCCTAACTTGGACTTGTATTGTCTCCCTCCCTCACGCATGGTCATCGCACCAAGGGCAGGGACCCAGAGGGCCTTGACCACCTCTGCATCCTCACTTGAGATATTTCATTTGTGGAATGAAGGGCCACTGACCTTGTGGAGCTCCCATCTTTCCATAGGGCCTAGAGTGGCATCAGGTGCCAATAATGCGGGGGGGGGGGGGGCAGAATTCAGAGCTGGAGCCTTTTCCACTGCAATCTACCCTCCAGCCAAACCCATCCTAGGTCAGGACATCTGGTCACGCTTGACTGCATGCATGCACACAAGCACACTTGTCTTCTGGGCTCCGAGCAGGGACAAACAGAAAGCGTCTCCCTGCCCTGGCAGGGTCCACAGCCCATGGAGACATTCACCCAGCAATTACAGCAACAAGGAAAGCTGATGGAAAGATATATGGGGGCTGCAGGGACAGGGAAAAGGGAGTTTCCAGGCAGTGGAGGTCACAGAAGGCTCCCCTGTGGAGGCAAGATCTGAACACTGTGAGGAGGGGTATGCCAGGAGGATGAGGGCCCAAAGGGCAGCTGGGGGCTACTATTCTTGGTGACCCTGGAGGCCAGACTGGAGGCCTCAGTGACAGGCTAATGGGCCCAAGGAGTCATTGGAAGCATTGAATTGGAGGCAGGACTTGGTCAAAGCACGGGGAACAGGAGACTGGTCACCATGGCCCTGGAGAGAACTGGCTACCAGGCTCCTGGACTCTGGGGAGAAAGCTGGCAGGAGTCCACCAGGAGCAGAAGGGAGGGGCTACCCTGAAGTAGTAGCCACTGCACTGACACCTGTGATCAGCTGGCCCAGAGCCACCCAGCCGGCTTGGGGACCCAAGAACTGGTTTGCCCGGCACAGATGAGCTAACCTAGGGATCCAGTTCCCTCTGAGACGCCCCAACTCTGGCTCTTTTGTGCCCTCCCCCCACATCTGGGCCTGGCTGTGGTTTCTGGCACAGCTGCCAAGTTTTGGTACCGCCCACCTACTCCCTGCAGGCTCTACTGGCCGGCTCAGCACCATAATTGCTGGGTGGGGAGCTGTTCTACAGGCTGGTACACCAAGAGGTGGCCCCGACCACTATGGGGCACGTGGGCACCGGCCTGGCCACCAGCTACCCATGGGAAGGTATGAGTTTAGCTTCAGGCCAACATCTGGCTCTGGTGGGTTCTCTTCAGGGGTCATCAACCCATGGACCTGTTTGGAGGGGTCTATGAAGTGGACACTAAAGCTGGACAAGAAGCCTGGCTAATGTGGGGACTCCCCATTTCCTGAGCAGAAGACCTGTGCTCAGGTGTGGGCCTAGATGGGTCTCAGCTGAGCCCAAGGGGTCTGTCCTGGCCAGTCTCCATCCAGGCTTGGCCAGAACTAAAAGAGACGGGCTGGCAGGAAGAAATGGGGCAGAGGGAGGGACCAGGAAGCAGTCTTCTTTTCCTCCAGCCTAGTAGGGCCAGGTGCCCCAAACACACCCCCTTGGACACACCCACCACCCACAAGCACACACCTCTACACACACCTGCCACTCAGAGCTATAAACACCATCCTCACGACAGACAACTCACACACCCCACTCTCTGCCTTACAAAGGCAGGCACACCAGTTCATGCTCCATACCCATAAGCACCCCATCCACTCATCCATACCCCTATCCTCTGACTCCACTCTACCACCAGAACCCATCTGCTAGACCGAGGATTCTACCAAGTCCTGGTGGACAGAAGTATGGTCAAAGGGAACAAACTGGAAGGTTTCTGAAGAAAACTCGAGTCAGCCACTGCCCAAGCAGTGAAGGGCTAGAGGGGAGTGTGTCCCCCCAGGACGGGCAGCACAATGAATTCAGGCCTGTGCTCCCCCATCATCCCCACACGAGTCTAGCACAGCACCTAGCAGATAGTAAGCACTCAATGCAGGGGCAGCCATCACCATGATACATCTATCCCCAAGAAAGCTGAGTGAGTGTGGGGTAGATGAGAGTCCTATTTCTTCCCCAGGAAGGACTTTCCAGAATACAAATTCGATCTTATCTTCCCCTTGCTTAAAAATACCCCATGGTTCCCACTGCCTACTAGGAAATGTTCACACTCCTTGCTACGGTGATAACCCTTTATCAACTGACCTGCAAGTTCCCTGCCTCTTCCTCTGTACTTTCCTTGCCACTCTCCTACCCTCTAGTGTTACTGAGGGATGGCATACCACAGTCACAAAGAAAGGAGTAGGATTTTGGGACGGGCAGGGCCCTCCCAGAGCTTTTGGATGCTTAAGCAGAAGCTGTCTTAGGCTAGCCCCAAACTTAGCAGGGGCTGGGGCACCTGGGGCCCAGACTTCCACAAAGAAAATGGCTCATGTTCTAGAAATGCCCCAGTTGACTTGCCCTTTTGTTTTCCTGGGCTTCCCTGGTATTGTTCCTTCTCAAAAATTCCACTGATGCTGAAGAACTTACAGCCCACATAGCTGCTAAGGAAATCGTGCAGTGCTGAGGCACAAGGACAGAGACTCTTCTAATCCCCAAACGCATGCACCCAGTGTCTTCAAATGCAGACCCAGGCATATACCTCTCCTACTGACCAAGTCCATCTACCCAGGGAGGAGCTGTAGCCCATGTCAACAATCCCCACCATCCACGACCCTTTTGGACTCAAGCCATGGCCAGGACTGATGTATCAGCCAGGGCCTCCACATACAAAACTTGTTTTTATTCTGTAGGAACCCAGTGTTTCCATCCTAGCCTCCTTCCAGGGAGGTCTCAGCCCGGTCTCCAGCCTCCCTCCCTCATGCCAGCTCTTCTGCATCACAAGGCTTTTTATTCCCCAATCTCCTTCCCTGTACCATCCTACTTCAGGGAGCAGGTCTGGGCCCTGCCTGGGTGCTCCTCTCCAAGGGTACTCCATCTCCTGGCACCTATCCAGCCCACAGCCCCACTGGATCCCTTCTCTAGGTGGGACTCCCCACCCCTGGGCCAGCCTTGAAGATTCTGCCCCAGACCTAGGGAAGGGAAGGGGCCCACTGCCTTAGGGAAGGCTTGTCCAAGCCCTCTTCTGCCAGTTTTTTTGTCAGCTTACTCTGCTGGCCTCAGATCTTGGAGGACTCAAGCCGAGGACTCCAGGGCGTGGGGGTCTCCCGCAGCGCCCGCAGTTCCTGCTCCAGTGCCTGGTTGCGGCGGTACATGTCCATGTAGCCCCCCTGGATCTCTCGCTGGTAGCGAAGCACCCGCTCTTTCTCCTCCTGCCATGTCCGCCGTTCCTGCTCAAAGCGCAGCGCCTGCTCCTGGCCGCGCAGCCGCTCCTGCAGCAGTTCAGCCCATAATTGCTCAGCGCCATCCCCTGCCTCCCCCAGCAGCCCCCGGCTCTTGCAGTCATCAGTCTCACAGCTGCCTGGGGCTTCCTCTTGAGGGGCCTGCTCCTGCAGGCTCCTCAAGGCCTCACGCAGGCGGGCCAGCTCTGCATCCTGGGCCTGGGCCTGTACCCGGCTGCCCCGAAGCTGCGTTTTCAGGCTGAAGATCTCAGCCAGCTTCTGAGCCAGCTCTGCCTGGGCCTCCCGCAGCTGCTGCTTCAGGAGGCTGATCTCTGCTGTCTTCTGGCACACCTGCAGAGGGACACAGGATGAGCAAGTTGAGGGGAGACAGCTTGGGTGGGCAGAAGATGGGACCATAGCAATAAGGAGCAGGGAGTTACTCTGAGTGCCTGGCCATCTCTCACCTCCCATCGGGCTTCCTCCTCTGGTCGGGTGTTGGCATCGCCATCTGGGAGGGTGCCCGGGGGCCGAGGCTCAGGGCCCAAGCCCTGTTGAGCCTGCAGCTCCTTGCGCAGACGACGCTGTTCCTGCTGGGCCATGAATAGCTGAAGCTGGAGGTTTCGCTCACTCCGCTCGGCCTTCTGGGCAACCTCGTGTAGCCGCTCCACATATAGACGCTTCAGCTCTGACAGCCAGTGCCGCTGACGCTCCTCCAGTACCTGCCCAGGGAAAGAGAAGCTGGCTAGGGCCAGTGCAGCCACGGTGGACACCCATGAATGGCCCAGCCTCCTGGACGAGATACCCCTGCACTCACAGAGGTGATACCCCAACACTCCAGCCCTGGTTCATGTCCTGTACACTCAATACCACAAGGCCCAGTGCCCCAGACACACAGCTGCCTGATCTGACATGTCCTCCAGAGGTGAAGTGTCACCAACACAAGGCCCTCCCAGGGAACCTCTCTCTGTTCCACCCGACTGCCAGGCAAGGACTACCAGTGACTCGTGGGGTCAGAGACAGGAGTTGAGTCACCTTCCTCTTTCATACTCTCCTGTGCTCAGAGCCATGTGGGTAAGCTGGCTGGTGACCCTCTGTCCATCCTGTCCCAAACCCCAATGCCAAGGGACAGAGGTGGAGCCAGAGAAGGGGCCTTCCTCACCTGTGAGAAGGGGTTGGAGCTGTCCTCGTCCCCAAGGCCTCTCTTGAGCTCTTCACAGGTTTCAGGCAGCACTGAAGCCACCACCTCCTCAGCACTGGGGCAGGAGAATTCGTAGGGGGGAGGTGGCTCCGGCAGGCAGCTCAGCACAGCCAGCGGCCCTACCTCCTTGGGGCTCCGTGAGGCTCGGTCCAAGGAGCCCCCGAGGTGATTGATATGGCCCACCGAGGAGCTGAAGGGGCTAGGGCCAGTGCCAGGACTGCGACCAAAGCTCCCTCCACTGGAGGAGTCCGACAGGCTGGGCTCAGGCTCGGGGCCACCCTCATCCAGGCTGAGGGCATGCAGCAGCTGGGCCCGGGCCTGTGCCTGGCTGGCCCGGGGCCCTGGACTCAGGGGTGGGTGGCAGGCCAGCGTGTGCAGGCTGCCATTGCTGCGCCAGAGCTTCTGGCCCTTGTGGGCAGCCAGGCTCTGCATGGACAGGAAGCCTTTGCCAGTACCCACCGTGGGTTTGAACACTGAAGGACGAATACGGCACTGCCAGAAAAGAGGGCAGTGTGAGGCTCTGGGCTGGCACCCTGTATGCACACCCGATGTTCCCACAACCCCCGGGGATCCTCCTGGAGAACAGTGTGCCTGTGTCACCAGCAAGCAGTGACCAAATTCAGGCCAGCCCAGAACAGTATTTCACGTCCCAGCCCTACCCTATCCCAGCCCCAGCATCTCCAAGACAGACCTCAGAGTCCCACCCTCAGCCTCTTCCCCACAAAACAAAGGGCAAAGACAGAGGTGCACCTTGTCGAAGCGGCCCCGCTCAGGCAGTGATGTCTTGCTGAAGTCCCCACCCCAGGGATGCTCACGGTAGTAGAGGGTGGAATAGTCAGAAGGCTCATTCCGAGGGGCCCGCTTGGCGGTCTTGCCATCCTTCTTGGGAAGGTGCAGGTAGCTGAGGAGCTCACGCTGGCCCAAGCCTTTCCGGAGGAGCCCATCAGGCTGGCGGGAGCCCCGGGATCCTGCGAGCGCTGCCCGTAGCTCCTCAGGGGAGAAGTCCTGCCGTTCCAACAGGCTGCCCACGCTGCCCATGGCAATGCCAGCAGGGCCTGGGGCTGTGGCCATTAAGTTTTAACAGGTCACAAGCAGCAGCTGCTTCTGGGGATCAAGAGGCTCCATCAGGGGCAGGTGGGCATCTGTTGCCCACCACTCCAATGTTTCTAAAACCAGGTGCTTGCTCTCAGGGATAGTTTACCACCTGGCATAGGCCCAGATCCAGGGGCAGGCAAAGGTGGGTCCTAGAGAGAATACCAGGACAGGATTCCCAGGCTGGTAAGAGAAAGGAGTATGGACTCCAAAGCCACCCAAACTCTGTGGGTCCAGGGAAGTCTGAGGAAAAGGACATGAATACTGCCCTGGCTGGGTTACTGAGACTAAAGAGAGTGTGTGGGGTAAGATGTAACCCTGGAGCAGCAGGACAGTACACCCTACCCCCACCCCCCCCCACCCCCCGTGGAGGACTGAGCAACAAAGGGCCAAGGAGGCTGGACTCTGGCTTTGTAGGAACCTTGACCTTACCCTTCTCCCGGGCTCCTCACCAAATCTGGAGGGGAAGGGCAGAGGGAATCAGGGCTCATGGCTTCAGACTCTCTTTTCCTTCTTCCTCATTTGGGATGGGGAAAGCCCAGTTCAAGCCCTTCTTCCTGCCAAGGGTCAGAGTTCCCCAAGGGAAACATCTGGAATGGGTGGGGTCTAGAGGCTACAGTGGGAGGGATACAAACAGGAAGGACCTGAGGGGAGGAAGGATGGGGCGAACAATGGACACAGCTTCCGGAACAGGTGTTCATGTCTGTGCATGGTGGGGAGGCAGAAGAAAGGGGGCCCCAAGCCCCTGTCAGTCCCAATAGATGCTGTCACTCCAAAGCCCACCACCAGGAGATCCCAAACCCTGACCTAGCCTTGAGCCAATCAGTGAACGACCTTACCAAACCATTGCCTCTCTGAGCCTTGGTTTCCTCAGCCATAAAATGGAGATATTACATATTGTATCACCAGAGGGGTATCTACAGAAAATAATGCCTATGGCAATTAGTTTTAAATTGCTGAATGATCTCTCACACCTGGTGATGGCACCTGCAATGGCGAATAGAAACTTGCTCATTGGCACCCCCCTCAAGTAATGCCCAGGGCATGTGCCATACCTGCCACATCCTAGACACACCTCTGCATATCACACAGGGATGCTGGAGGACAGAGTGAGATAACAAGACAAAGCTCCCAGGTCAGTGCCAGAGTCTACACTTGCTGGCTGGAGCTGAGCTAAGCCAGCTGGAGCTATGTGTGTTGGCTGGCTGGCTGGCTGAGTGACCAAGCCTGTGGGCCTCTCCCACCTGTGCTGGGACCTGCACTCTGGAGGGCAGGGTCTGGACACAGTTCCTGAGGAATCCTTTGGGCCCAGCATGTAGCACACAGTAAACCAACCCAAACTCATTGCTGTCGAATCTGATCCGACTCACAGTGACCCCTCCCTGGGTTTCCGAGGTGGTATCTTTACAGAAGTAGATTGCCCAGTCTTCCTTCCGAGGAGTGGCTGGTGGGTTTGAACCGCCAGCCTTCTGATTAGCAGTCAAATGCCTTAGGCATTATGCCACCAGAGCTCCTCCAGCACACAGTAGGTGCTCAGAAAGGCCCTGCTGGATGGATGTCATCGTCTCTGTTCATGCCTGCGTGTGGCTGTGCACATTCCGGGACGAATTCCCAGCAGGCCAACCAGCTGCAGCTGTAAGTCCCCACCACCCACCCAATGTACTTCCGGGACACCCACTCCCGCCCCAAACAATGGTCTTTTGGATGCTCCATCTTCCTCAACCATTTCCAGGTTTTGTGTTTGTGGAAGACAAAGGGGAGGGAAGTCCATTTACCCCCCTCCTGCCCCCCCGCCAGCCCCCAACCTTACCCCAGGCGCAAATAACCTTCTCTACCAGCCCCTCCCAGCCACCAGACCTGGGTGAGGGAAGGATCTAAGTGTGCATATTCCAGGATCCAACTCCTCTGGGGGTGCCATAGCCACACAGGCTGAGGAGGGTTGGGGGGGGCGGTCTCAGACAGGTAAGGAATCACAGGTGCTGAGCTCCTATGGCAACTCAGCCCTGGGTAGAGGTCTGAGTCCTGTGACCACTGACTGTTCCTATTTTTAGGGAAATGACCCTGACTCAAAAAGATACAATGACTTGCCCAAGGTCACAGAGCTGGTCAGGGTGAGGGTGATGCCAGCATGTGGTTCCCAAATGACTAGTTGAGAGTCCCAGGATGTCACCCATGGTCAAAAGAATTGGAATTCAAGCATCTTGCTTCTCACCCTGACAATCCCCTCCAATGGTAATCCTGGCAGTGACAGACAGACACACTGAATTCTGTTACTCTGGGAGGTAACCTGAGGAAAAGTACAGCAGACAGACAACCTGGTATCCAGCCCTGCCTTATATGTTTCTCTCTGTGGGAGCCTGGACACTGATGCTCCACCCTGGCCATGGCTCAGTTTCCCTATCTCTGAAATGGGAAAGACACTGCCTGCCCTGCTTTCCTGGTGTGACAGTCACAGAGACAATGGAGGTGAAAGGGCTTAAGCTCTGTGTGAACATGAGAGCTACCATATTGGCCATGGTGCCAAAGGCACCCACTTCACTCCACACACACCACTTCATCTTCCCCTGGGCAGCACCTCACTTCCTGAGACGAACAAAATCCCGTTTTCCACACAATGGGTCTCAGGTTCAAGGGGAAAATCCTTGGGCTGGAGGTAGTCACAGGTCACAGCAGTGTATGCAACATATGTAACACAATCCAGTCAGTCCCACTCAGCAGCATGAAGACTCTGGTTAGAGGACACATTGTGGACAGTCCCTCCAACAGCAGATGCAGTCACACAGCACTGAGTTCCTCCAGGGATGCACACACAAATGGAACACAGGAAATCCCAGCATGAAGACCCAGGCGTCCTTCCCAGACCCCAGCTAGATGAAGGCACACATGTGCATGTAACTGGGGCAGTTAGAAACAACCATGGAGTTTGATGAGGGGGGTCCAGGCAGCCTCTCTTCCTCTGCCTTTCCTTGAGGTCCCCATCCCCTTTAGCCCCTCTTAGGTAACTTTCCTGCTATATGACCAGCTCTGCCAGGAGGGCCCTGGCCCCTGGCTTTCCAGAGGATCCAGCCTACCTAAGTCTCAGTCTAGAGACTAGTTCCTCCTCCTAAAGGGGTCCATCCCACGGCCACCCCCTCCCCCAACACACACATTCCTCCCCGTTGCTGAGAAGCCAAGGGATTGGTATGGTCAGGCAGAAGCAGCTGTGTAGGCTGGGCTGGAGAGGACTTAGAGGAGGAGGAGGGAGGGCGGGTAGGCAAGGGCCTTATATCCTCAATGGGACCAGCAGAGCAAAAAGCTGTGGCCTCCTCCAAATGTCTGCTTCCCTGCCCAGAGCTGGGTGCCTGCTCTGGTGCCCAGAGTTCTATACAGAGCTTAAGTCCCCCACCACCCAGCCTGGCCAGGTTTGGGACAGGCAGCACAAGTCACATCCTTGCTGTCCCCAGCTGGCCCCATCAGGGCCCCTTAGTTTTCTCATTACTTGATCCCAAGACTAGCCAGCAGCACAGAAGCCCTGGGCACAGAATGACATCTCTTTTGGACCTAAACCTCATGGAGAAGGAAGCAGGGCACTGGGTGACTGAACTGGCCTTGAAGCAGAGAGAGAGAGGACTAGTTAAGAGCATGCCAGCACCTAGTAGTGGGTACCTCATTGGGTCAGGTCTAACTTGGGCATAATTTATCCTCATAACACACAGATAAGAACTGTTATCCCCATTCTTCAGAAGAGGAAACTAAGGCCCAGGAGGTAAAAATAATGTGCCTAAGGTCCCATTCAGGAGCTCTGGTGGTGTAGTGCCTAAGGCATTTGGCTGCTAACCAGAAGATTGGTGGTTCAAACGCACCAGCGAGTCCTCCTTGGAAGGAAGACTGAGGGGTCACTATGAGTCAGAATCGACTCGATGGCAGTGACAGGTCCAATTCACTTGTCCAGAGAAAAGTGCATAGGTTTAAAGAGTATGTCTGTCTTAATAGGAAGCTTTCCCTGACCCGCTTTGCATCTCTTCTGGGGTGAACATCCCAGCCCCCATGTGGGCAGGAAGCTCCCAGTCCAGCCTTGGCTGTGGTTAGCCCCTCCTGAGCTCTGGCCCCAGGGAAGGGTCCTACCACCTGCTGGGGGATCAGCTTAGCTGGAGGCGTGTCTGCAGCTGCCCCAGAGGAATGAGACTGGAATGTCCCAGCTCTAAAACTGGGGCCAGTAAGCAAGGGGGCCCAGAGAGGGGAGGGGACACTTGGTGGCAGAACTCATTGTCATACCCCTGCAGGAGTGACTCTTAGTGTTACTATACAGTGGTCACTCACAGTTGTACAGTGCTGTACAGTTTTTCTTAGCTCTTTCAATCTCATATCCACACAAAGGATAGTAATTACCTTCATCCCATTTTACAAACAGTAAAACTAAGGCCCAGCAAGAGTAAGTGAGTTGCCCATATCCCACAGTGGCAAGCAATCTGGACTCCCTGGATAAAGTCCTCTCTGCTGGACCAAGTTGTCCCAGCCAGGGGTCACACACTTTATCTATGTTGTTTGCCCAGCCCCCCACACCCATCTCTCCCAAGGGCATCTATCTGTAGCAGGCAGGTTTGGATCCCAGCTCTCACTTTCTGACTGAAAGAAATAGTGGGGCCACTGTTCACAGGTGGACTCCAAGCCGTACAAGCTGCTAGCTCTAGAGGCGGTGACGGGAGCAGGCTGTCGCGTTCATTCACAGTCTCACACATACACACCCACACGCAGCCATCCGCAGAGAAGCCCTGCCTGCCCAGGAGGGCCGGGGGAGCAAGCTGCTCACCGGGCCAGGACAACCTCCGGCCTCTGCTCCTTCCCAAGGCCAGGCAGAAAGAGCCGGCGAAGGCAGCAGGTCGGATCCCTGAGGCATGCCGGAAGCGCCCCAATCTGCTCCGACGAGGAGGGGGTGGGGGGACCGCGGGTCTCAGTACTATTTCCGGACACAGCCCAGGCCCTGATCTTGGCCTGGTTCC